CTCTCTCTCTCTCTCTCTCTCTCTCTCTCTCTCTCTCTCTCTCTCTCTCTCTCTCTCTCTCTTCGTTCATATGTCTCTTGTTGGTGTCCCCTCTTAGACGCCGCACACCTCGATCTGTTGTTGACTCTCTCGAGCCATCATCATCGCTTTCTAGAGTCGTTGTCATCGTAGTTGCTATATTTCACTCCTCTCTCAACTCCCAAGTGGCTAGTAAATGGTAGGCTTTTTTTTCCCTTCGCACTTTTCCCTTTTTTCAATTGTCAACTGAAAGTGTAGCCGATTTCACTACACAACCAATCTAGCTCATTTCGAATTTAATAAACTATGAGAGACTATTTGATCTTGAAATGAACTACATCAATTAGTAAACTTAAACTAGAATTTAGTGGCAAAGTTGAAATGAGAACTGGTTTATGAACTTTAACTAATACTCTTCAAACATCCCAAAATAAAAGGTAAAAAGGGCAGCATATGTTAAATAATGAGATACATTTTTCTCGTAACGAGAGAACAGACATAATTAGAGGACTTTTGGCAACAAAGAAGATAACTATGGTAAAATTACTGCACAAATGATGGATTCCCAGTAATAGAAGGTTTTTTGCATCAAAATACATAGGCATGAATCATAACAAAACCAAAATAATAATGATAATAGAAATATGATCGATCTGACCTCGTTGTAAATGGTTCTCCCCTTGCTTTCAACTTTCTAACCAATCTATGAGAGACTATTTGATCTTGAAATGAATTATATCAATTAGTAAACTTAAACTAGAATTTAGTGGCAAAGTCGAAGTGAGAACTGGTTTATGAACTTTAAATAATACTCTTCAAACATCCCAAAATAAACAGTAAAAAGGGCAGCATATGTTAAATAATGAGACATATTTTTCTCCTAACGAGAAAACAGACAAAATTAGAGGACTTTGTGCAACAAAGAAGATAACTAAGGTAAAGTTACTGCACAAATGACGGATTCCCAATAATAGAAGGTTTTCTGCATCAAAATACATAGGCATGAATCATAACAAAACCAAAATAATAATAATAATAATAATAGAAATATGATCAATCTAACCTCGTTGTAAGTGGTTCTCCCCTTGCTTTCAACTTTCTCGCAGACTGCAAACATCACAAGCATTATCAAGAACTTGCAAATATTAAATTGTTTGCTAAATTTTGAGAGACCAAGCAGTCATCAGCAGTATCAGGTTACCTAGTAGGACAAACTACACCAGACTGCTGGGTAAAGAAAATTCTAAAACAAGAGAATCCTTGAACAGGCTTTTACATGAACTAATAGAAAGAATGTTTCATCACCTTTCATGCTGAACTGTCGAAGGCCCCTGCCACTTTTATCGCCAGCAACAGCTCGTGTTCCCCTCTTTTTCTTTTTGTTACTGTTAAAAAGTTTGTGTTGCATTAATACTGATAAGATCCTTATGCATACAGAACAAAATCAAGTAACTTCCCAGGTTTGTACAGTATTTTTGTTTGCTACTATGTTGCACCCAAAGTTTGAAAAGACTAAAGTCTTGATATCCACCACGGTTTTGGTTCACCTTTACCAGTACAACATTAGAATTGTCAAGAATTCTGAATGGGATATAGTGTAAGCACTGTTTTAGATAGTGCTGAATAGCGCCACTACAACGACTGTAGCGGTGCTATTTGTGTTAGCAGGGGCCGCCTAGAGGAGTAGGGCCTTAGCAGTGAACAATAATGCTCGTGAGCGCTTTTCACTCGCAAAAGTTCTCGAAAGCGCTAAATAGCAATAAACAGCTGTAAAAATTCGCTTTTAACTGCTAGTTAAAAGCAGTTAAAGTGAAGTTTGTGTTGATTAAACCGTACAAAACCCGACCCGAACTTTATTAAACCCTAAATCCAACACCATATCTTTCTCCTCCTCTCTGTGGATAGGAAAAAAATACTAAAGTCACCACCATTAACCTCTTTCTCTCTCCCTCCAATGTCGTCGGCTCCAGCCCATTCCTGCCGCCTCCTGCAGTCTATGAAGCACAGACACGGACACGGCGACACGGACACGACACGGATACGACAAAACCCAAAAAAAATAGGACACGGCGACACGGCTAGATTTTTTTTTTAATATTAGTATTATATACATATTAGATAAAGAATTTTTTAAAAAAATATTATTATATATAGAAAAATTTATAAAGTAAAAAAGCAAATAAGAAGTCTCTGATTGTGGACCGGGCTTAGGATTTTTAGGCTGACATGTAAGCAAATAAGAAGTGACTATTCATAATGAATTGGCAGAGGAGTGGCTGTTCATAAAGTAAAAAAGAAGTGACTTAGTATTGATTTGATGGAGGGTTGGGCCCGAGGAGGCGGAATGAGCTCAAAAGTTCAAAGCATTCTTCAAAACTTCAACGGGTCATTAAGTTCTCTATATTATTATTTTATAATATGTGTAATTTTTACTAATCCACCTCATCCACCGTCCACTCACAAAATCAACGGCCAGATCTTCACCAATCCCTTCTCTCCTCTAGAAGATTCTTCCCCTTGACTCCAGTACTCCCCTTATCCATAAATCCACATTCTCTCTCTCAACACCAGCTCACTAAAACCCTAAAAAAAGCCAAAAATATCGAAAGAGGTGAGCGTGGAGGCGGAGCAAGCGCCGACGGTGAAGGACAAAGACAACGGCCTAGCAGCGACGAGGACGAGGACGAAGAGATCGGGAGAGAGACGAATAGATCGAGAGATCGAGAGAGACTCACCTAGCAGCGACGACGACGAGCCGACGAGGACGAGAACGAAATGATCTCTCTCGACGAGGACGAGAATGAGCCGACGAGGACGAGAACGAGACGATGGGATTGTGGGTCGGGACTCTAGTAAGTGAAGAAATTAGGATTTAGGTGTTGGTTTGGGTTTCGGATTTTTCTTTTTTGATCGTGAATCCCAGCCGCGTCGGGAACGAGTTGGGGGCGTGTCGGGTAGGGGTGTTATCGAAACGGATACGGTTCGGATATGACACTTACCATATCCATAACCGCTTTTTATAAACGGATACGGATCATCTTCGGTAAGAAAAAACTTTAACAATATCCGCACTTATCGGTAACGGATACAGTTCGGATATTTGAGAATCGAATCGGATATGATCACGGATATAAACGGATATTCAACAAATGGATAGTTCTTGTAATTTCTGTTTTAAATTGGTAGCTCTTAAAACCAACTCTTTCATTCTAAACACAAGCATGAAGCATGTTAAAAAAGGCTTATATGCAGTTTAATAGCCCAAAGTTTCATTTGTTTAAACTTTGATTCCTTGAAGTTCTATCTTGCTAATTTGGTATCCCCAAAATTGACGTTATTTTGACCATTTGATTCCCCCAAAGCTCTAGCCTTGTTCCCCACGAGCCCCCAAAAAGAAAAAAAGGACTGAAACTGGTAGGAAATGTTGATGTTATCGAACAAAATCAAGGTCAAATTATCATAATATATCGGGCGAAATCAGAGCGTAAAAAAAAGAGGCCAAAAGAAACTCACACATCCAACTTGACGCTCCACTGCTCCAGGCCACAAGGTCCCGGTACGGCATTCTGTCAAACACCCTGCGCGCATCCCCCTCGCACCCCACCGCAACGTAGAAGCCCACCAAGCTCGTCTCCACGAAAGGGTTTGAGCCCACACCCACCTTAATCAGGGCCCCATGATTCTCCCTCCCAACCCCGCTCCCCGCCCTCGCAACCGCCCGCAGAACCGGAGGGAAGCAGTAGTGATCGAGGCCGAGGCCGGGTGACACGATGGCGGCGTTAGAAGAGGAGGGCTCTGGATGGGCTGACGACATCGTTTGACCCGGAGAGGAGGCGTAGGATGCGAGACGAGAGGGGAGGGGAGGGGAGATGAGGAAGGCGGAGGTGGTGTAGTCGAGGGCGGAGAGGGAGAGGAGCTTGGTGAGGAGAGGGGAGGCCAGGGTTTGGAGGAGGGGGGATTTGAGGAGGTGGGCGTGGATCTGCTTTAGTTGGGGGATGCAGGCGGCGGATACGGATTTGAGGAGGGTAGGGTTTTTAGTTGTAGTTGGGTTTTAGGTTAGCGGTTACGAATTTGTAAATTTGGACCCAAATCCTTATTACATTGCGGATATCCGTATCCGCAACCCTCATATCCGTATCCGACTCCGTATCCGAAAAAAATCCGAAACTGAATCCGTATCCGAAACCATATCCGCCCGGTTTTAAAATTAGCTTACCATATCCGCATCCGTTCGGATATGAATGCGGATTGGTTCGGATATATCCGAACCGTTTGGCACCCTTAGTGTCGGGGCATGGACTCGGTGATTGTTTCTGCGTGTCGGTGCTTCATAGCCTGCAGTCACCTCCTCTCTTCTCCGCCACCTCCTCTGCTACCTCCAACAGTAATAACAATGCCATCTCCAATAGCAAGAATATTCTAGAGCACTAAAAAACAAGAGAGGGTACTCACAGTGTTCTATGGTGCTACTTCTATATACAAAGTACAACTTTTAGATTTTTTTTTTAATATTTATATATACTTAAATTGGATCGTTGTTTGAGTTTGTACTTTTTGCCACTATTTGTCGCTATACCCCTAAATAGTCTTAGCGGTACTTCACCGCTATGCGACACTATCCGCTATCAATAACCTTGAGTGAAGCTATGTTGCGCGAATACAGGCGTGAGTACGGACACGGACACGGGTGCGAAAATGGGACATAGCAGAAAGGATACAGCGACACAACTATATACATACATATTAAAATTAATAATCTATATGAGATAGATATTGTTTTTTATTCACATGTTATGAGAACTAAAATCCTAATACTATTTTCATATTTTTTTATTGAGTAGATTCTAAATTGAAAAACCGCTCATTTTGAACTAGATAACCAAATGACCTTTTAAAATCATACATATAAACTAGATATGTGCTAAAACAAACCTGTCTCGAGTCCAATGAGTTGCATAAATTTGAGGTGAGGTGTAAATATATGCTCAAGAAGTGTATCATGACTTTTTTAACTAAAACATGTGTTATATAATTGAGTACCCATGTATGTAAATGTATGTATATATTCAAGAAGTGTTCAAGGAGTGTCCGACATGGACACAAGTATGGGAAGTGTTGGACATGAATACAAGAGCCCAGATGAAGTGCTCGGGTAACCTAGAGCGTAAGTCGAAGTTCGATAACAAGATTTCTATTCACTGGGTTGAATAGTGTTTAGTTTTCATGATTTGTACAATAGGAATTTCAGAGTTTGTACAATTTCATTTGTCCACTTTGTTGCTATTATATAAGGCCTCGCTAGTTGGCATCCTTACCATAGTATCTGCATATAGATCCATATCTATCAGCTGACTTTCTGATTAGGGAAAAATTATACATAAACTAATCATATTAGAAGGTAGTAAGGTAGTGGCTAATCAAAGGCCATTATAGAATTATTTTTTTACCTTACCAATTAGATAAATTAATGTTCTGAATTGTCAACCAACAAGAAGAACAATGACCAGTCTTCATCTTTAATCAGTTTGATATAAGTAATACGAAAGATACAAAATGTCCATAAAGCATCCTTTCTTTTCATCTGTGCCTGTTGTTGATAGGTTCATTATAGTGGCTAACAATTCTAATTACAGCGCTAGCAATTCTAACCATTTTTATTGCAAATTCAGGTCAACGCAGCAATCCCCTTCAACTATTTTTGCTTTAACAATTAGCATAAGGAATATAATAATAGGTAGCGCCCAAAATAAAATATCATCTTAGATTGTTATTATCATTAGATTTTAATTTATCACTATCATCAGTTTTTTATCCTTCAATTTTTCCTTAGCTAACTAGAGACGACAACAGAATACTAAGCCAAGAATACCATAACTTCTGAATGATGATCTATTTCCCAATATTTATTTCATAACCTTTTTGCTTTCAGCAAATTCAGCTAATTTAGGCAATTATTATTATTATTTACAATTTTAGCTGTTCAATCATACCTTCTGAAAGTTGGGAAAATTTTGGTCAACTGTTTGTGTGATTATCTTTGAATGCATGCATGTGGTCATCAGTTAGAACAAACATTAATCCTAAATGACAAGAACAGACAAAAGGAATCTAATTTATAACGAAATTATCCACAGAGAAAAAGATTGGCAGACTTTATGTGGTAAGTGATCATGTGAAAACTCACATAAACTAGGCACTACGGACTAGAAATTTACCATATATGCTGAAAAGCAAACAGTTTGTGACTTTTCTTCAATTAACAATTTCGTAGCATAGCCATCACTTAACAAACAAACAAGGTAAGATGTAAGCACTAGTCTATCTAATAAGCTAAAATCTAATCTTAAAATGACAAAACAAAAGCCAAATTATAATCACCATGACTAACATCCCATTGCAAAAATTTGCAAGCAGCAGGCAAGAGCTTATCATGCTGTTCTACGAACCTGTCATAATGTAGTTGACAATTTGTAGCAATCTATCAATTTTCTCTAGCAAATCATGTTTTTACAATAACAATTAGCACAGAAGTGACGACTAAACATGCAATGGTTACCCTCTGACAAGCCAGAATCCATTACGCCACTCACTTATCCAAATATCAATTTAAATTTTATTATGACTACATTTCCAAATAAGCAGTCAGTGATTGCTTTCCCAAGTCTAATTTTCCTTAAAAATTCACAAGTGCGTACACCGCACCGGATAAACTTGCTAGACTACGCCCTCAGTACTGCATCATCATTTAGTCAACAATTTATCATGAGTTACCAGCCACTTGCTAGCAATTTGCTGTTTTCTCCTAAAATTCACGAACGTATCAGAACAATCCACGCTGCAGATTCTATTCAAGTACAAGGAGGATCCTATACAGCCTTAAATTCATCTTCTACAATTTATCAAAGCTTCACCAAACATTTTAGTAAATAATTCGCAATCTTCTCTAATAAATTACGCATTCATCTGCAGATAATAAAAATTTAAAGTACCAAAATAGAAAATTTTAAACAATTACCCCTCCTCCGCCGCCGCTTGAGAAGATCCAGCATCATCGCCATGGATATCGAGCTGATTCATCCTGATGAAAGTGCTGTCGCTCGCCGGAGTCGCC